GAATTAGAATGCCTTAATAAACAATTATTAATTGAAAATGATATGTTAAAAAAAAGATTAAATAATAAATTTGATAATCAAGAAGAACGTATTAAAGCTGTTATTGAAATTGCCAAACAGGAGCGAAGTTCTTTATATGATGATGTTGTCGAATTGATAAAAAACCATGAACGATTTAATCTAGATAACCTTTTAAAATATTCTCCGTCCCAATGGCTTGCTATGCGTAACCCAGTTATAGTAAAATTTATACAAACTCTTACATACAATGAAAATGAAACCTATTATGAAGGCGAAAAACTTTTTAAATGTGCCGTGGTAATTGATATAATATATGGAATAAGGCATCTAAAATATGTATCTGCAGCTAATTTAGCACTGTCAGCAATAAAATATTCTATGGCCAAATCTAAAACAATAATTGACATCGATAGTCATATTATGAATGCTGGTAGTTTTACTAAATTTATTAAATGGCAAAAAATTTAGCAGGTAATCCCGAACCATTTCCAAACGGTTTGGTGTTTATGGCATTCGATAATGAACAAAAAGAACAAAAAAACTATTTGGATCGTGGACATAATAAAGTAACTTTTCATGTAGTTACTAGTTTTGTTTTATTTAATTTTAATTCTAATAATCAAATACAAAATTTCGAAAATCCTTGGTTAAATCAAAATCTTAATACACCACAAATTGAGGAATTATTTTTTCTTACTCCAGAAATGCAAATATTACTTGATTGCCAGCTTCATGATTATCTTTCGACCATTATACCTAAATTATATAAAGAAAAAAATAAAAATATAAACATTATTGATGATTTAGTAATTAATCAAAATGCTAAAACAAGTAATCAAAAACAATGCCGTGAATGTGGTAGAAATAAAATTGAAAATTCTAAGCGTAAATGCCCTCATTGTTATGCAAAACTTCCTACGCTTACTGAAACTCAACAAGAAAGCGAACTAGCTGTATCTGATAAAAAAGATAAAAAAGATTTAGCCAAGCCACTAATTTTTAAACCCTTTCAACCCAATACATCGGATAAAACTATAAATTCGATTAGCGTTAGTACAACCCAAGAATTAGAGCCTCAGAGTAGTGTTAATAAGCCTGAAATTCTTGTACCTGATCCTTTACCAATTAATCCAAATTCTATTGATAATGTTCGTAAAGTCTTCGATCATATTCAAAAAATTAGTGGAATTAATAACGGTAGTCGAAAATGGATTGTAGTAGTTTGTGATGGAATTCCTTACCATTATGCCCAAAAATTCAAAAATGAATATCCGGGAATTATATTGTTGCCTGGTCCACTTCACGAGGAAATGAACATGTTAAAGGCTTTTGTAGAATTGAACTGGTATAATATTCGATTTCAATCTATAGTTAGCTACAAAAAAATGAAATATCCTTATGCCAGATTCATTAGTTTAATGAATTAGACGCAAATTATTTAATATATATTAGTGAAAAATATTGCCAATTCATTCAATAATTTAATTATTAAATTACTGACCCATATAATAAATTTCATAAATGCGTCAGCTGGTGATCGTTATATTGATAATTGACTATAATTTTAAAAATATAAATAAAATTTTTTAATTTATTATACTGTATCTTATAAATATAGGTCTATTGACTTACGATATTTTGCGCAATGCCAGGGATATAGATCCGAAAACCAATTAGGTTACTTTAAAAAATGTATGGATCACCATAAATCATGGGATTCAGTGTGCAATATTTATCGGCATGCAATGGCGATGGAATTGGTTTGGCTATATGTTGCTTCGGTCTCTAATCCATCCGTTAATGGTTTTCTTGATTGGGCTAAAAATCAAAAGGATGAATTATTTAAGTTAAAATATGAAATGGTATTTAATAAATTTATAATTATAAATAATTAAATTTCAAATTATTAATATTTAAACTATATTTAGATTTTTTGGTACTTACAAGCAATAATAAACTTTCGTACGGGTGTTAGATACAACCAGCATTTACTTAAATTAGCTGCACGTAGAATGTTTTCCCCTATTTGGTCTGCAAGACGACATCCTATTTACCAAGCAATTGAAATAGCTGATGAGGAACAATTAATGCGCCTTCGTCCAGAGATTCATCAAATTATCGAACAAAATTCTGTTGTATCACGATCAGGATGGCCAAATCAGCACCAGGGGTTAGATGCGATACTTGAAGAAATAAATAAAACATTAAAAACACTGATTCCACCTATACCAACTCAAAAGCACTGGGATATGGCTGCAAGAAATTGCACAAAATTTATGAAAGTAAGAGTATATATTATTGTTATTAATGTATACTTACTTTTTTTTTCTAATAATTTTTTTTTTGATAGCTGCGAAAAAAATTGTTTGCTACGATGGAATATTCAGATTCTGAAAGTTCAGGACCACGAACTCGTCCAGACTATGAAATAGAATCACAGAGGTTTCAAATTCAATTAAGAAAAACCAAATTTCTAAATCCAAATAAAGATGATCGTAGCTTTGAAAGTTTGGATAAGACTAATAAATTAAGTGTACAAATGAAGTCATTCAGTCATAAAGCTTGAATGCAACGTATAAGTTATATTAAAGTAAATTTGATTTACCGATAATTAATTCATCAGAGCTTATACGGCCTATTCCCGTTACTTTTGATGAAGCACAATTACAATTAGCTGAAACTTCCTTGAAAAAGGAAGAGATAATATTCACAATCGAAACATTAATTGGATCCTTAAATGAAGCTAAACGGCCACAATTTAGAGGATTAAGATCAAAAAAAAAGGATGAGTTATTAACAATTTTGCAACAGCTTCGAGATCTCTATAATACGACTAATGCTGATGAAATCGAAGAGGAAGAGACAATATAATTAAATAATAGCCAAAATATATTCAGAAAATATAAATAAAAAGTTGAATGCTTTTATTAAAATATATAAATATAGATAAAACTATCTCTAATTACGGTTATAAAAAAAAATACCACTTATCTTGATAAAACGGTTTACATTCTTAGCTGATCTTGAAGTATTGTTTGCCATTTAGCTCAAGTAATGCTAATTTAATAACATATAACATGATTTGCGACTGTTTAATAATAAATTAGTTAAACTAATCCTAAATTTTAAAAGCAAGTTTCGAATAAAGATTATACACCTTACAAGATATTAAAATTTTTACCTGATGTTGTATATAATAGTCAAACATTCCTAAATACACGTATTGTAAGTATGCCTATTATATAAATTCACACACAGCATGTCTTGATCCAGATTAAAGCTTTATATACTTGGTACCAAAGTACTCGTCGCAGAAGCAAGTATTCTTTTTTTTTTTGCTATATCCTTATATATGAAATTTT